TGATGGGAGAGAAATAGCTGTGAAGAAGCTAGCACATGGATCAACTCAGGGTAAGAGAGAGTTCCAGAATGAGGCAAAGTTGTGGACGAGAATGCAGCATAAAAATCTGGTGAATTTGTTGGGATACTGTGTTTATGATACCTAGAAGCTGCTTGTTTATGAGTATGGGGCAAACGAGAGCCTTGACAAAATTCTATTTAGTAAGTTCTGCTATGTTTCTCAGTTTTATCTATTCAAGTATTCGGTTCTTGATGAAATCTACATAATTATTGCAAGAAAAGAGCATTGCACCATTTTGAATTGGCTAAAAAGTCAATTAAGAGCATATCCTACAAAGTTTTTGTTGGAAATGGTTTTATTTTCAGATTGTTAAAGGAGAAGTCAATACAAGAATCAACAGTTTTTGATAAAAGTTTTAGCTGATATTGATAGAGGTTGATGAAATGTGAGGTTGAAAAATTGATAAAAGTCGTGGATCCATGTTTGTTGGAAATTAAAATCGGATTTGTAATAGATTTTGATAAAAGTTGATCAAATGTACGGTTCAAAAGTTGTTGGCCCCCATAAAATATGTAAATAAAATTAATTGTTGTCTTTGACTTAGTATTTTCAATTTTTCTATTTGTGCAGACAGAACTTTGCCAAAAAGCTCACAATGACATGGGGCCCACCCAAATAAGAAAAGGCCAAAAAATAACCCCCTACCTATACACCTAGCATTGCCTTAGCATTTACATAAATAAATACAAATTTCAACGGTAGAAGATTTCATGAGGATTAGCCTTTCAGTGATGTGGGAGTTGGGACACTGTCAAATCTTTTATTCCATCAAGCTGTAGAAATATTTGATTTTTATCACAACATTCAAATACTTTATTATAAACCTCAGATTGCAAGGAATAGAATGATACTGACACCGTGTGGTAGTATATCAATTTAGAGTCTGGTAGTCAGCAAGTGCTTGATTGGAAGCAAAGGCAGGACATAATAACTGGCATAGCAAAGGGCTTGCGTTACCTTCATGAAGGCGCTAATACTCATGTCATACACCGCAACATCAAGGCGTGCAACATCCTACTTGACAATAAATTGGTCCCCAAGATTGCCGATTTTGGCATGGCTCGTCTTTTTCTTGAAGATCAATCGCGTGTTAACACTCGTGCAGCTGGTACCAAGTATGTGGTTTTGCTTTTATTTTTTATTTACTTCTATGTTTATTGGGTACAGAATCCCACTTCATGCCGCTAAATTGCTAATTATTTTAACTTGGGAACAGTGGCTACACAGCGCCAGAGTATCTCATGTATGGTGATCTTTCTGCGAAAGTGGACATTTTCAGCTTTGGGGTTGTGGTTTTGGAGCTGATAAGTGGACAGAGGAATTTAACTTTTAATCGTGATCCTAATTCATGGAACCTACTTGAATGGGTAAGAACCTGACCTTTTAGCCAAAATGTAATGGTTGACTGTGGATTGGATCCTTACCTACTCTGTTAATTCATCTGAAATAGTTTATTACTAAGTTTGAGCTCTGAGGTCACGATGGCAAATAAAATTTTCTGGTGTCAATGACCTG